AAAAAAAAAGAAAAAAAAAAAGAAAATGACTGACAGTGGTGGGAAACTATGGGGGGAGGGGAAGAGGGATGGGACTAATGGTAGTAAATATCTGTCTGGGTACGGGGAGACACCTGTTATCAACAAGGGGGCCGAAATGAAGCATATTTGTATACCTAACCCTTAACTGTACCTTACAACATCATAATAAAAAATATTGATAAAAAAAAAGTCACTCTTGGGGATAAGTGATATATACTCACAAATGGAATACCATGTAGCAATGTAAGCCAAAAAACAACAGCAGTAAACAAAAACATGGCTGGATCTCACAATTATAAGAAAGGGTGAAAGAAGCAAGACATAAAAAGGTATATACTGTGTCTATATTTATGTGATTGTATAAAGTACAACCTTAGAAACTAAGCTGAGGCATTAGAAGTCAGGATGGTAACTAGCTCTGTGTGGGACTGTTCCTGGAAGAGGTCTGGGTGTTGGAAATGCTCTATTTCTTGATCTGAGTGTTGATCACATAGATTACATTTACCTTATAAAAAATTCATCAGGCTGTGCCCTGTGCACTTTTTGGTTTATATGTTATAGGTTAATAATACATATATTAAGGGGACAAAACAAAACATTTCCTAACTTCTAAATTAAGATCACAAATACAGTAGCTCATAGGGTCCAGGGAGCTAACATAATTTTGGAATCCAGTTGATGTGACAGGGTCAACAATAGATTAGAGAAAAGCTAAGGAACTCAAACTGACATAAGTTCAAAAATAATTTTAAAAGTGATGGAAACCCTTCAGACATATACAGTAACATCACATCTTTAATCAAATAAAGCTTTAATCAAATAAAACATCAGTGCAACTGAAACCTGTGTAGCCTATGCTAACCAAATCTGTTCCCTCTATCCTAGAGTTAACCACTATGTTGAATTTGGTATTTATCATTCCCATTCTTTCTTTTTTTTTTTTTATTAATCAATATTTTTTATTATGGTTTTGTGGGGTACAGTTAAGGGTTAGGTGTACAATTGCGTTTCATCCCATTCTTTCAAAAATAATTTTACCATTTATTTATCCCTAAACAGTATATAGTATTGTTTTATGAGATTAATCCATTTTAACACATGTGACTCTAATGAACCTAGTTAATATATCTTCTTACATACACTGCCTTTAAAGTTGGCATAACTATTTCTAGAAGAAATTTGACAAAATCTAGTAAAATTCAAGACATGCACATCCTACAGCCCAGTAATTCTGCTAGAAATTTTGGAAGAAGAGATCAACTGATGAATAGATATGTGATAAGCACATCAAATAAAGTTAACAGTAGAATCTGAATGGTGGGCGTATGCAGTGTTATAGTAAAACTCCCTTCTCAAAAAGACCAACTGTTGGGTCTCTTAGCACATTCCTGCCTCCCCCTCTGCATTCTGCCACGAGCCAAGGCCTTCATGACACAGGCTTTTTGATCTTGGGCTTTCCAGTCTCCAGAATTGTGAGCCAAACAAACTTCTTTTCTTTACAAACTACCCAGGAATTCTGTTATAGAAACAGAAAACAAATTAAGACTCCAGTATATTTTTCCCAAGCCTAGCTGGGCCTCCTGTCATGCCAGTTAGTCCAGTGGTCCTCGATGGTGGCTGCAATTGGAGTCATCGAGAAAAAATACTGGAGTCTACAGCCTATACCCTGAGATTTTCTTTTTTAAGGAAAAAAACAATGAAAACATATTTATTTAATATACATCACAAGGGCTCACTCAAAGACTTAATTTAAAAAACAAACAAAACAAATATAACACCACTGCTCAAGATCAAGGAAAGGACAGACCATCTAAGGAAAAGATAAAATAAAATACGACACAGGAGAGGCTGGATGGCCCGGGTCAGGGCCCCTGGCTGGAGACCTGCTTTGAGTAGGTTTCTTGCGGGTACTTAAAAGCTGTGGGGTTTTTCCAGAGCTCAGCAGCAAGTGTGTTTAAAGGGCTATCGATGTTGGATTCTCTCTGGATGGAGAGCAGGATGGTCCTCATGTCATAGAGGGCAGACCACTTATCCTTCAGGATGTCCAGGCAGATGTTACCCTGGGTGTCCACGTTGGGGTGGTAGCTGGGCGTAAGGAACTTCACTGTGGGCGCATTGTAAGGATAGCCGCTGGGGAACTCCAGAGAGAGCTTATACCTCAGGTCTTCATACACTGTTCCAGCTGCTCCATGAATGGTTCCCACCCATTTGAAAAGGTTCGGCGCCTCCTGGATGGCTTCCCAAAACCGAGACCCAGTGGCTCCCAGCGTCGCCGCCGCCCGGAAAGGAGCCGAACCTAGCGGGGGTGCTGCCCGGGGTCCCGTGGGCAAAAGGCTACAACAGGAGCTGATGACCCTCATGATGTCTGGGGACAAAGGAATTTCTGCTTACCCTGAGATTTTTATGTTATTGATCTATGGTATAGTTCTAGTAAGAATAAGAATTTTTCTCACTACATTTTTTTTTAAACGACAGAGTCTTACTCTGTCACCCAGGCTGGAGTGCAGTGGCATGATTATAGCTCACTGTAACCTTGGACTTCTGGGCTCAAGTGATCCCCCTGCTGCAGCCTCCCAAGGAGCTAGGACTACAGGTGCACGCCACCATGCCTGGCTAATTTTTACATTTTTTTTGAAGAGACAGCATTTCATTATGTTGCCCAGGCTGGTCTCTAACTCCAGGCCTCAAGTGATCCTCCAACCTCCCATGCTGGGACTACAGGCTTGTGCCACTGCTCCCAGCCTCTCCCCACATTTTAGTATAAAAATTGTTAAACATATAGAAAAACTTAAAGAATTTTACTATGAACATATATATGCCCACCATCCAAATTCTACCATTAGCATTCTTTTATTTGCTTATCACATAGCTACTCATCTATTATTTGCTCTGTCCATCCATCAACCTATTTTTCTATGATGCATTTCATAGTAAATGACAGGCATCACACACTTCCCTGCATGAGCATTTAAAAACTTCCCAGGTGACCCTAATGTATAGCTAAGGCTCAGCACCATGATTTGGCCTTCATTGTTTCTACTGGAGCTGGTCCAAATCAGGCTCAGCCATATTGGTGTCAAGCCTCCTGCCCTGTGGCTGCTGTAGGGACCAAGCCCACAGCAGCAAAACAGCGGTGTCACCAGATTCAGGTCTATTCTATTGCCTCTGAGTCCCAAGTTCCAGGGTTATTTCTTTTTGGAAGTGTCATAGGCTCTCTACATTCTCAGTGAATAGCCAGCATACCAGCATAAAATAATTATAATAAAGCTTCAGACAGTCACAGAATTAATTTTGGCTTCATAATTTTAGGTTTCGGCATTAACTATAGATATGCAAACAGAGTCACCTGGAGGTTAACAAGGCCACAAACTTCAAGAGGCTCAAAGACCATGGAATTAGACAATGACAGAGCTAATCTTCCTGAAATCCAGCAATATTTAGTTTATCAATACAATTGGTATTTTCTAAAACTTAGAAAACAAAAATCAAAATGTAAATCTCATACCTGGAGTTTTCCCTTTTCATAGGCCAGTTGATTTTTACTCTCAGTAATTTTTCTTAAGACTTTTTCCACCTTCTGTTGGGCTAACTGATAAAGTAAACACAGGCATCAGTACCTCTAGGCATGGAAAGAAAGAACCATTTTCCTTCTTAAACAAGTGTTTACACCCCCATCATTTCGGTTGTCACAAGATCAAGGTTCATATTTTTGCTACTGCTGCCTTTTTTAGTCTCTCCCTAGAGTCTGACCATGTACTAAGAGGCATCATGTACAGAGAGTGCTAAAAAAGTATGAAGACTTGAGAGTCCCAGGGTTTGCTGTTTCAGTAAATTAACTCTTTTTATGTTATTCAGTTATTCCTTTGTAGATCTGATCCAACCCAGACATGGTGTGGTTGTCTCAGTGACTGCAGGTCATCTGAGGCGCATTATACAACTCTTTAAGAAAACAGCAGCTGCAAGTGACCATGACCACTAACAGTAGGAGACACTTCTGTTACCACTGAGGCACTTAAAGCAGTTTAAAAATCCTCTAAAAAACAAAAGAAATGTTTTTTTGAAACTCAAACTCATTGTTTCCTCAAACACTCAACACAGTGTTATCTGGTACAAACATTACTGAAGGTTCTATATTTCATGAAATGACAAATAGCCTTTAATAGTGGCAGTTATTTTTCTTATGCTGGTTTTCTCAGACTTTGTAGAAAAAATGAGCATAAAATATAGCTTTCTTTTGATTAAATTTTGGGCCATATTGATACTTCCTTTAAATAATATGAGGTCACTATGAATGACTAAGTATGGAATTTTTACCTTCCATAGTCAATGTCAATAGTATAATAGTAACAGGAAATACTACCATATGTCAAAATCATCTCATAAACCAAATGTGGGGATAACATAAAGTCAAGCAAATGTGATGAAGACTACAAACTCTCAGTCACTCACAGTCTAACCAGCTGTACCATGGGTTATTTGCAGTAAATCTTGTTTAAGATCTTACTAATATTGGTAAATATCCCATATTGACAAAATCACTATTTTCTGGTTTATATTTGCTTAATTTGTGAATAATAGAACAGAGGTCCTTTAAAGCAGTTTAAGCCAATGAATTTAGTTGTTGCTGCTGTTGTTTTTTGAGTTGGGGTCTCATTGTCACCTAGGCCAGGGTGTAGCTGTGTGATCATAGCTTACTGCAGTCTTGAACTCCTGGATTCCAGCAATCCCCTGCCTCAGCCTCCTGAGTTGCTGGGACAACAGGAGAGCATCAGCATACCTAATTTCTAAAAAAAAATTTTAGAGATGGAGTCTTGCTATGTTGCCCAGGTTGGTCTTGAACTCCAGGTTTCAAGTGATCCTCTCACCTTGTTGGTCTCTTGAGTGGCTGGGATTAGACTTTTGTTTTCCGTTCAACTTTGGGAGAGCTGACAACCATGAAACCATGTACTAGTGGTAATAATTTACATAAGAGATTTTCCTCACTATCTCCTCCAGCATGGCTTCAGTCACCACTTTGCTGGGTACTTTATTTTATTTTAAGTGTTGTGAACCCAATACATACATTTCTAAATAAAAGCAAAAACACATTCCAAACTAGATGACTATGTAATAATATGTAATTCCCATTTTCCTGTGTTCCAAATATTTTCAAGATTGCCTATGTTATATGAAAAGGTACACTAGTCGGCAGCCTTGTTTTCTCCTTTGTAATAGCTGTGGCTAGAAAAATTAGCATTTTTGATATTCAAGGCTTGATAAAAAGCTATGGAAAAGCCATAAAAAATGATTAGTCCTTGTGTACCACCTGCCTTAAAATTATATATACTCAAAATAAAAACTTATTCCCAATATTAGGCTTTAGCAAACTATTAACTATTATGAGCATTTAAGTTCAATTATTGTTCAATTAGACTCAATATTTATATTTCATACATAATTATACACATTCACAATTCAGTTTTTTAAAGTTTTAAAAAATCACCATGTGTTGCTCCCACTAAAGCAAATAAATATTTTTTAAAGCATTTAGACCAGTTAGAGTAATAGTTTCAAATTAACCTAAGGGAAATGTAGACTGCTATCTATAATAAGAAAATAGTAATGATAATATATTATCATATAATTAGTTAATCACCAATTAATTTTCTGCCTTTGCCATAATATCTACTATTTTGGAAACTATAATGCAAAATAATTCCGTGACTATAACATTATAGTTTAGGGTTATGTTTTGACCAAGTCCTCATCAGCAAATAAGTGATAAGAATGATCAGGCTGGGCACAGTGGCTCATGCCTATAATCCCAGCACTTTGGGAGGCGGAAGTGAGAGGATTGCCTGAGGCCAGGGGTTCAAGACCAGCCTGGGTAACTTGGTGAGAACTTGTCTCTATAGTAAATCAAAAAATAAGCTAGATGTGATGTTCTATGTCTGTGGTTTCAGCTACTCGGAAGACTGAGGTGGAAGGACCGCCTGAGCACAGCAGGGCGAGGCTGTGGTAGCCGTGAGCTTACCACTGTACTCCAGTCTGGGGGACAGAGTAAGACTCCGACTCAAAAAAATAATAATAAAAGGATGGTCAATAATGCTATAAAAACAAAGCTACAATAACAGATTAATCATCTAAAATTCAGTTCAAACTAAGGTGTGTCAAAGTGCTGTACAGTGTAGATACAGCATATAAAAACACCAGTAATTTCATAAAATCTAAAACATGCTAGATATAACAAACACTAAACAACCAAAAGCAGCTTTGCTTATTTTTAGTTTTTTGAAAACTTAAATGATCTGGATCTCTTTTAAAAGATGTCCAGGAATTTTAAAAATAATGGCACTTTTTTTTTGAGTCAGTCTCAGTCTGTCACCCAGGCTGAAGTGCAGTTGTATGTTCAGTCACCCCAGTGTCAACCCGCTGGGCACAGGCAATCCTTCCTCCTCAGCCTTCCAAGTAGCTGGAACTAGAGGCGTGTGCTGCCATGCCCGGCTAGTTTTTTGATATATTATAGAGACGAGGTCTCACCAAGTTGCCCAGGCTAGTCTCAAACCCGTAGGCTAGGGAATCCTCTCGTCTCGGCCTCCCACAGTGCTGGGATTACAGGCTTCAGCCACCATGCCCAGATCAACAAATTAATTTCTAAAATCATGTTTGAAATCCAGGTGAGTTATAAAATTTAGTAGAAACTGTTAGAATATGTAAAATCAGTGAGATACTGGTGTCTTGGTAAAGTAGTTTTGTAAGCAGATTGTAAACACCTAAAATTTGTAAATATTCTTATTCAATATGTATTTTTTTTAAGAGATGGGGTCTTGCTCTGTCTCCCAGGCTGCAGTACAGTGCACAATCATAGCTCACTGTAACCTCAACCTCCTGGCTTCAAGCAATCCTCCCCCTTCAGCCTTCCAAAGTGCTAGGATTATAGGCGTGAGCCACTGTGCCTGCCCTTCATTCAAAATATTGAACAATCAGTATGACAGGGACCCCAGCAAATCAAACCAACTTTGGCACCCACACGGGTGTACACTGACAGAATATCAACATAAATATATTTGGTTCATTGTTTAATTTCAAGTTATTAAAGTTCCAGTTGTAAGGGAATTATATTTGTCTGGTGCCACTATTTTTAAAAGTCTGATTGAAGCCCAGGAGAGATGTGGGGGGATAGTCACACAGACTGCACGCAGGAGGCAACCCTCCTGCTTTGGATCATTCTCTCACTGTCCCTGTAAGCCTGCCAGCAGGAATGGACTTAAGCTGCACTATCACTAGAGTATGCAATGGCAAAAATATACCTAAAATTGGAAATGTGAAAGGAAAAATGAGAATAATGTTTATTATTCCATATGTCATAATTCTCACTGCCTGGCAATACAGACATAACTTTCTTTGGAGTCCATTCAATGAATGTTTCTTAAACACCTGTCAGGTGTTAGGCATGATGCTGGGCAAGGGGATATAAAGAAAAGAGACTGGTCTTGCATGAGAAGAGAGTGAAGGCAGATGCACAAATAGGTCAATCTGAGGTGCACAGTAACCAGGGGACTCCCACCACAGAGGAGATCCTTTTGGCACTGCAGACGTGAAAGCTTAAGATATGCAGGTGTCACAGCACATAGAGCCAGGGAGTGTCTGAATTCAAGTCAGACCAGGTGTGTCTGAATTCAAGTCTCTGATGTTACACACACAACACGCACTCATAAGTATATCTCCAAAAATCAATGATAAGTAATGCTAGAAGGCACACTTTCTTGAGAATTTCAAGTCTTAACTTTCAAAGAACAACAATACACTATCAGCATTGAATGACAATAGGCTTAATGATATTGTTGAGATTAAAAAACAAATCCTGGAATCTCTACCTCATTCTAGACTCATATAGCCAATTGAAGCATTCCAGACAGGCTTGGCCAGAGAAGCTTCTGGCTGGAGACAGAACTGCTAGCTAGAATTAGGGTATCTATGTGAGTTATCACTGGGAAACATTTATCAAGATGTGTGGCCAGCAGTGACCAAATTGCTGGCAAGATTTGCCAATGTCACTCATAGGCCTGCCCGCTGGCAATGGGTTCTGGAAAGAATCTGGCAGAGTGAGATGTGTTCTTCCAGAGGGACAAGGCCAGATGGCTGGAAAGCACAGTTGAGGCCTGGCCAACAAGTAAAGGACATTGATGAATCTTTGATCTTACAGAGAGATGGGACTGGTTTGAGATAGTACCAGGAATTGCAGCTAATAGATCTTGTCGTCCCAACAGGCATTTACAGGCTTTTCTCCCTGGGAAAGTTCAGATACTAAGAATTCAATAGGGGAGGGAGCACATAAAATCACTGAGGATACCTGATCTTAAACCAGGCAAGGTAAGAACCAATGGGAGACCCAAATGTCACCTGTATGTAGACCATGCATGTACCTAATCCTGACTTGTACCCCATATCTTTAAAATAAAAATTAAAAAAATTAAATTAAAAAAAGAATTCACTAAAGGTTAGCTAGCTGCTACACATTTTACCTGTATTGCTTTAATCTCAAACAACCTCATAGTCATCATGTTATTATCCTCATTTTGACAGATTAGAAAACTAAGGCTCAGAGAGGTTAAGAATCATATCCAAGGTCACGGCAAAAATTGAAACCTAGGATGTCTAACTTGAAAGCCATGAAAACATAAGATTTAGCCTTAGTATGTGTAATTTTTCATAGTTGCAGTAATGAGCAACTATGATAAGGTGTGAAAGAATTTAGCTTAGGTTAAGACAGACTTACATCAGGAGCTTCTATAGACTATTCAAAGATTATTTGCATGCTATAAAAGCAATGAGTAATACTTTTTCAAGTATTAGAAAGCACACAAGAAAATTATTAAGCTTCTTAACAGATTGGCCATCTCCTTAAACCCTCTTCACTTGGAGTAGATCTTTTAAGAACTGTACCTTTAGGCTGGGCACGGTAGCGCATGCCTATAATCCCAGCACTTTGGGAGGCCAAGGTGAGAGGATTGCCTGAGCCCGCTGGTTCAAAATCAGCCTGAACAACTTGGTGAAACCTCATCTCTATAAAAAAAATTAGCCGGGCATAGTGGTGCGTGCCTATAGTTCCAGCTACTTGGAAGGCTGAGGCAGAAGGATCGCCTGAGCCCAGCAGGTTGAGTCTGTGGTGGTCGTGAATGTGCAACAGCACTCTAGCCTGGGCAACAGAGTGAGACTCCGACTCAAAAGAAAAAAAAAAAAAGGACTGTACCGTTTATTTGTAATGCATTGATCTTGTCAAATGACTTCAGAAATCAGACTTATAACTCATTGCCTATTGGAGAGAACTATCTGACAGAGGAAAAGAAGACAAGTTTCTTCCTCATAATTTATAGAAGATGAACTATTTTAAAACATCCAGATATATTAGAGCTTTTCAGTATCGTAGATCATTTGTAAAGGCAGATGTTTAATAGATGACTTAATTTCTTGTTTTCTTAAATTTGCTATTGTTTGAATACTATAGTGATCTCTGCCATATTTATTCTAAGTTATTCAAGATTTATGATAATTATTAAAACACAAAGAAAACCTATCTCCTGACTTCTGGTTGTTCTTATTAACTCATCAGTGATCAATTCCTATTGTAGACTGACCTTTTTATACCCACCCCATGGTAATCAGAAGTGACTTGCTGAAGTTCTAGGGAAGCCATTTGGTCTGCCAGGTGCTTATTCTCGTCCTCTAGAGTCTGCAGGTTGTGGGTTAATATATCTATATCTACCTTCGAAAAACAAAGAAAAAAGAAACTATTTATGTCAGATCCAATAAATCCTTAGTTTTAAAATGACAATTGTAACTGTAAAATGAAGGTATCTAATGGACATATTCTCTTGCTTCTAAATATAGAGATTTGACCAGTTTGATTAGCTCCATGATATTTTAAGAAACTTTTCCCCACACCTCATTAACAAGGGTACCTGCATAATCAACATTTGTATACCTAACCTTAAGTTTGTACCCCATATCTTTAAAATTAAAAAATTTTAAAAAAACCTTTTTTCTCTTTTCCCCCTATTTTTCAGCTTTTCTAGTTGTTTTCAGCAAAAGGATTATTACAAAGTATACAGCTCCTCTTTACCATAAGTGAAGGTCCTTCTGATGTTTGTTATTTATTTATGAATATAGATGCAAAAATCCTCCACAAAATGTTAGCAAAATGTCCAGCAATATATAAAAAGATAACAAGTCAGGACTAAGTGAATTTATTTCAGTAATATGAAGCTTGTTGAATATTCAAAAATCAATCAATATAGTTCACCACATCAACAAACTATAGGAAACAAAAAACATAACCATCTTAACAGATGCAGAGAAAGCATTTTACAAAATTCAACATAAATTAATTTTTAAAAAACTCAGCAAGCCAGGCACAGGGGCTCACTCCTGCAATTCCAACATTTTGGGAGGCTGAGGTGAGAGGATTGCCTGAGCCTATGGGTTCGAGATCAACCTGGGCAATATGGCAAGACCTCATCTCTACGATAGATAAAAAAAATTAGCCAGGCGTGGTGGTGCATGTCCATATTTCCAGCTACTTTGAAGGCTGAAGTGAAAGGATCGCCTGAGCCCAGTGTGCAGAGGCTGTGGTGGCCATGAGTATGCCACTGAACCCTAGCCTGGGTGACAGAGTGGGAGACTCCAGCTCAAAATAAATAAAAGACTTCAGCAAACTCACAGAGAAAGGGAACTACCTCTAGCTGATAAAGTGTATCTACAAAAATCCTACAGCTAATAGCAATCTTAATAGTGAAAATCTCTCTACCTTAGATTGGGGGAAAGGCAAGGACACCTACTTTTACCATTCCCACTCAGCATCATATAGGAGGACAAAGCTGTTGTGACAAGGCAAGAAGCACATTAAAAACTATTAAGATTGGAAAGGGAGAAATAAAACTGTCTCTATTCATGACACATGATTATCCACATAGGAAATCCCAAAGAATCTACAAAAAAGTACTAGAATAAGTGAGTGTGTTGAGGCTGAGGGAAACTAGGCCAAATCTATTGTATTTCTATATATTTACAGTAAAAATTAGAAATTTACAATTATGAAATATCATTTATAATAGTACTGAAACCATGATTTGATATGCTGAAAATTATAAACACTATGAAGAAAATAAGAGATCTAAATACAATGAAGAGATATATATGTTCAAGTAGTTATGTGTCGCATAACAACATATCACATATCAAATGATGATGAGAGAAATAGACTACATCATATAGCCTAGGTGTGAAGTAGGTCATACTATCTATGTTTGTGTAGGTATACTCTATGATGTTTGCAACAAAATCACCTAACGATGCATTTCCTAGAATGTATCCCTATTGTTAAAGCAATGCATGACTGTAGACGATTCAATATTGCTTATAAGTCAACATTCTAAATTCAACTAAAATTCCCGCAACATTTTTTGTAGAAATCAATAAGTTCACTCTAAAATATACGAGAAAGTCAACCAGGTGGCTTGTGCTTGTAATCTCAGCACTTTGGGAGGTGAAGGCAAGAGGATTGCCTGAGTCCACAGGTTTGAGACCAGCCTGGGCAACATGGCAAGTTGCAGTTCTAGCTACTTGGAAGGCTGAGGTGGAAGGATTGCCTGAGCCCAGTGGGCCAAGGCTGTGGTGGCCATAATCATGCCACTGCACTCCAACCTGGATGCAAGAGTAAGACTTCAACTCAAAAAAGAAAAAAAAAAAGAAAGAAAGAAAAGAAAAGAAAAAGAAAAAGTCAAAGAACTAAAATAGCTAAAACAATTTTGAAAAAGAACAAAGCTAAAAGACTCTACCTAATTTCAAGATTTACTATAAAACTATATTAATCAAGAGTAATTTTTCAAATTGGAAAAAGGAAAGCATATAACTAATAGAACAAAACACAAAGTCAAGAAACAGACCCACACATTTATAGTCAGTTGAATTTCAACAAATGTGCCAAAACATTTTGAAGGAGAAAGGACTATCTGTTAAAAGATGCTACTAGAAGAGTGACACTTGTTGAATATTCAAAACGCAATCAATGTAATTCACCACATCAACAAACTACAGGAAAAAAAAACATATAACCACCTCAATAGATGAAGGGAAATAATTTTACAGAATTTAACATAAATTCATTTTTAAAAACTCAGTAAACTAGCACTGAAAAAGCCAAAAACTTTCAAAAATCCTCTCTTCCATGAAAGTAATGAAAATGCCAGCAAAAATGGTCAGAATCAACTTTTTCAGAGCTCCAGAAATTAATATAAAATAATAATCTAGGGAGTACTTATTAAAGAAAAGTGACTGAATCTAGGTAAGAAGGGTAAGCTTTCGGTGTTCTAACTTGCCTCTTTCAACTCTCCATTCTCCAACTCTTGCAGTAGCTTTGAAAACCAATGGCCTGGTTTTCACAGTGAAAACTCAAAGCTTGGTAGTCACCAGAGCAGGAAGGTCAAGGTTAGAGCCCTTTCAAAGCCTCATTTCCAGGGAACTGTCATTATAAGACCTATCTGGTGGTTTCCTGAAAGACTTCTCATGTAAGGTTGTCTTTTTTGGGTTGACTAGGAGCTCACTCAGTGAAAAAAGCCTTTTTCCAAGGAACATATGTCAAAAACAATTGGAAGTAACTAATTGACTTTACAGTTGCCTGAGATAGCGAGAATTGGGCAAAAAATAATCTAACCAAAAAACTCAAAGGGAAAAGGTAGGGAATATGATGACCACAGAAGACTTTGAACAGCTCTAACATATTCCTGGGAATCTAGAAAGCCATGCAGAGGTACAGGATTATGCACATGTCTTGAATTGTGCGCATGCTCAGGAAAGCCCTGAGAAGGTTCTAAAATCTCACCTTCTGGCGGACCTTGAGCTGCATACACTCAGAAGTGAAGGTTAAAGAAGAGTTGTTAATTATGTGAATGTTCCCCAAAATGCATATAAGTAAATTATTGAAAGGAAGAGACAGAAAATCCTGAAAGCAGCAAGAGAGAAGTAGTTCAATATGTACAAGAATCTCAATAAGATTAATAGCTGATTTCTCATCAGAAATTTGAGGCCAGAAGGCAGTGGAATGATATATTCAAACTGGTGAAAGAACAAGATTCAAACAAATTCTAAATCCAGCAGAACTATCCTTCAAGATCAAAGAAGACATTAAAACTTTCCCACATAAACAAAAATGGAAAGAATTCATACAAGGTCTTCTGGTTTAAGCATAGTCCTGATAATGTGGTGCTTCAAAATCTCACTTAAAGTATGGGGTAACTTTCCAGGGCCCCAGCCTTTGGTGTGGTCTGGACTGTGGGGCTAGAAAGCATGTCCTGCAAGAAACAGTAAGGGGAATTCTTCATGCTTAAATAAAAAGGCACTAGACAATAACTGGAGTCCACATAAAAAATAAAAGGTAACAGTAAAGGTAGCAAGGTAGGTACATATAAAAAACAATATAAATATATATATTCTGCAACTCTTTTTTTTACCTGTAAACCAAAATATAGAAGAAATGATAAAGAATTTTAGATGGTATACTAGAAACATCTATTTAACACAAAAGAAGGCAGTAATTGAGAAATAGAAGAATAAAAAGCCAAAAAAAAAAAAAAGCAATATAGCAGGTGTAAATTCTACCTTAATAATAATTATATTAATACAAAAGAATTAAATCAGAGATAAGCAAAATGAATTTCTTAAAGGTCTAACTGTTATGCTGTTCATATAAGATACACTTTATTTATTTTTATTATGTTTTACTTTTTTTTTTGAGTTCATGTCTCATTAGGTTGGGCTTGGTGGCTTAGTCTGTAATCCCAGCACTTTGGGAGGCCGAGGTGAATGGATTGCCTGAGCCCGCGGGTTCAAGACCAGCCCAGGTAACTTGGTGAGGCCTCGTCTCTACAATACAAAAAAGGTACACTAGAAACATCTATTTAACACAAAAGGTGGCAGTAATTGAGAAACAGAAGAATAAAAAGCAAAAAAAAAAAAAAAAAGCAGGTTCCTACCTTAATAGTAATTATATTAAATACAAATGAATTAAACCAGAGATAAGCAAAATGAATTTATTAAAGGTTTAACTGTTATGCTGTTTATAAAAGATACACTTTATTTATTTTTATTATTTTTTATTTTTTTTTTTTATGCCATATTTTATTACTGAAATAATGTTGTCCTACCCACATGCCCCACAGTAAAAAATCTCACCCAGGTCCCCCATCCCTTTCCCTCATCTCTCCTTCCCTCCTTCAGTCCTGCACATGAGTGCTCCAGAATTCCCCACCCACTGGTTATTTTGGAGTGTGTCCATCGGGTAGCAACGTGGAAACCACCAGGACCTTTGTGGAGAAAATGGAGAGGGTTGAGGGAGCCCCAGGAGGGGATTATTTGAGGGCCTTGGCTACTTGCTCATAGGCCAGCTCCATCTCCTCATCATCTGGACAGGTGGAGGCAAATTCTTCCGGGCTTAGGCATTTCTCAAGTACCGATGCACTCCCTGGAAGGCCTCAGGCATGGTGAATCCCCGGTACTTCTTACACACCACTTGTACTATGTGCAGCTTTGGCAAAAGGTTGTAGTCAGCCAGGGTGAGCTCATTGCCATCCAGAAATTTCCTCATCATCAGCACTGGTTTCATCTACTTCTTCTAGGAGGGGGAATGTCAAGTAACTGTCTAAAATCTTCAGGGCTTTTAGGAGCCCCTTCTCCAGATTATCATTGAGTGCTGGGTTTGAATTCTTGATATAGGCAGAAAATTTGGCAAATATGTCTAGTCCAGCTGTGTTGGACTCAGGGTTCAGAGCTGCCAGCTTGGGGTACCTGGGAGGGCACAGCACTGCCTCCAGAAATTCCTCAATCTTGTTGGTGTCTGTGTGCACTTCAGTGCCATACAGCAGGAATGGGAGCTGCCCTCCTGGGCACAGCTTCTGTACTGTCTCGGTCTGCCTCTTGGTGTCAACAGTGGTGACGTTGAAGGTGACTCCCTTGAGCCAGAGCACCATGAACAGTCTCTGGGAGAAGGGGCAGTTCCCAATCTTGGCCCCATCACTGCCAGCCTTCATGAACAATTCGACCTGTGGTTGTTCTTCAGCCATACTTGCATCGGGGACCAGGAAGTGGAGGACGCTTGGGGAATTGGGAGGGGCTGGGCCCAGGGAAGTCGGGTCTCACAGTCAGGGATCCTCTCCCTCAGACCTAGGGCTGTCCCTTCACTGCAACACAATCCTGATCAGACCACTTGCTCCAGATTCGGCTTCCCCACACCCAGCTCCTCCAATTTGGTCCCCTCCCAGGCTGAATCAGGGACTATTTTTTATTTTTAAATTTTTTTTGAGTTGAAATCTCACTCTGTCATCCAGGCTGGAATACTGTGGCATGCTCACAGCCACCACTGCCTCCACGTGCTGGGCTTAGGCAATCCTTCTACCTCAGCCTTCCAAGTAGCTGGAGCTACAGGTGCGAGCTACCATGCCCGGCTTATTTTTTTTATTTTATTGTAGAGATGAGGTCTCACCAAGTTGCCCAGACTGGTCTGGAACCCCTGGGCTCAGGCAATCTTCTTGCCTCAGTCTCCCAAATTGCTGGGATTACAGGCTGAGCCACCATGCCTGGTCAAAAGATGCACTTTAGATTCAAAGATACAAATGGGGTTGAAAGCAAAAGGATGAAAAATATATACCATATAAACAGTAATCTAAAAAGAGCTAGGGTAGCTACACTAATATTAGACAAAATAGACATTAAGATAAACATTGATGAGATGAAGGAAATTATATATTGAAAAAGGATTTATCTATCAGGGAGATATAACATTTATAAATATACATGCACCTAAAGTCAGAACCCAAACATACAGAAAGCAAACTAAATGACAGAATTGAAGGAAGAAATAAATAATTTAATAGTCATAGTTGGAGATTCCACTTCTATTAAATAATCAATAGAGTAGCTAGTAACTAGACAGATCAACATATATAGATTTTATATATGTTATATATGTGTGTGTGTTGGGAGCCAGCCTTGGAGGCCCGCCTGATGACAAAGTCCAGGTGTGTTGAGGACCCCCAGCCACAAAGTGAGTCTGGGCAGCTGAGGCCCTTTTGTCTTTTGCCTTTGTTGTTGATATAGTTGAAGAAATTTTGTGTAGTCGTGGAAGAAGAAGATGGCATGTTTATGTGAAGAATCACAGTTAATCTGGAAATATCATGGTTTATTTTTTCATTTTTTTCACTATGTCACTTGGCCTTTTTTAACATATGTAAGGGTTAAACTCTGAAGTATATCAAGAATGGTTTTTTTTTACTTGGTTATAAGTTATTAGATATTGTTTAAGTAATAAATGATATAAGTATATCCACTCTTTATTTGATTTAGGATTATACAGTTTAGTGTTTAGACATAAAGATTTTTAAAAACACAAGTTTATAATAAGTTTATTATAAATTTTAACACATCTAAGAGTTATATAGGTAATTTATAACACTGTTTTTACTAACTTAGGATAAGGATTAATATTAAAGTTTTTATTTAATATTATAGTTAAAACTCTAAATTAACATTTATAGAGTAGGTTTTTACTAAACTCAAAATATAATAATCAAACACTTTTATGACAAATCAGTTAAAACAGAAAGTAACCTTGAGGGGCCTAAAAAACATTATTAAAATTTTTTTTTGAGTTTTCTTTAAAAACAAACACTGTAAGATAAGAGAAAAGTAACGAAGACATCTGGACAAGGGAGGCAATCACAAAACCCTAAAAAACATAAGAGCCTAAGATAAAAATATTCCTGACACATAAAAAAATATACACTTAAAAAAACTTTCTTAAAACATTTGTAATTTGGGACGTTAGACTGAGAGTGTCATTGTTGGCTTTATGAATAAGACGTTGTCTGGAGGCCTATAAAAATCTTGGTTTGTTTGTTATTAAGACCTATGGGAATCTTGGTTTGTTTGCTACTAAGACCACTAGCTGATAACTTTTAAAAGATATATATGTGAAAGAGTTTTCTTTGTCTTGCCCCTTCAAAATGGTATAAAAGCTCTATATTAACTATCATTAAATTGTCATCTGTTCAAGAAGCAGGTGTCCGATATATGATCGTCGTTCGCCTATCCGTCTCTCCTTCAACACTTCCCACGACCCTTGTGGGGCGGGCCCCCACAAGTGGCGCCCAACGTCTGGGAGCTTGAAGGTAATCTTTTCTCTTTCTTTTATTGCTACACTGGCTATTATAGCAAGCCAGGTGGGTTATATTTATTCAAAAAAAATCTTATTAGACTTATATCCCAAACCCTCTAATATTTCAGCCTATTACATGAAATACTAAAATTATTACTGTTTTTACTAATCATTCCTCTTTATTAAAAGGTCCCACTCTTTTTTCATTGTAAGTCAAAACTGTTATTAATCATAATTTTTCCTTTTCAAGTTGTTCTAGTTCTCTTCCAATATGTTTTAGTTTACCTAAAAAATCAAACTACTTTTATAAATTATAAATTAACTAACTGTCTTATTTTTTCTAATTTATATAGAGAATTTATGATTTTTAAACAGCCTTCTTATTTAATGGTTCCTATAAATCTTACATCTCTTTAATATAATGTACATAGTTTAGTGTTTAGATATGAGGTTAACTCACTGTTGTCACAACCAAAAAGATTTATAACAACTTTAATTTTAAAAATTACAACTTTAATAGTCATTACTACTTCAATTTCAGTTTTAGCCATAACTTTAACTAAAAAAATACATACTACCACATTTACAAATCAGTCATCCAAAAATGTCTCATTAGCTTTAACAGCTCAAAAAATTATTGACCAAAAATTAAAAAATAAAATTAATACATTAAAAAAACTATTTTGATTATAAGACAAAAACTTATAGCCTTAAAAATTAAATTGACTTTGAAATGTCATTCAGAGTTTAAATAAATTTGTGTCACACCTCTCCAAATAAACAAGTCTGTTCATACCTGGGATGAGATTAAAAATCATATCTCCAAAATTTAAAACCACTCCAACATAAATTTAAATCTCTCCAAACTTCATCAAAAAATACAAGACATTAACTCTACTAAAAAACAATTTAAATTCACCCAATTGGCTCAGTCAATCTATAACAATTTTTCTTCATTTGTCAATCAAAAATCATTATTGTCTATATTAATCAATGTGGGAATTTGTGGAGGAATAATCTTGCTACTGTTATGTTTGCTTCCAGTCATCTTCAAATCATTGAAAAATAACATCTCTTGACTAAGCATGGAATTTCATGGCTTCGTATTAAAAAACAAAAAAGGGGGATATGTTGGGAGCCAGCCTTGGAGGCCCGCCTGATGACAAAGTCCAGGTGCGCTGAGGACCCCCAGCTGCAAAGTGAGTCTGGGCAGCTGAGGCCCTTCTGTCTTCCGTCTTTGCTGTTGATACAGCTGAAGAAATTCTGTGCAGTCGTGGAAGAAGAAGATGGCATGTTTATGCGAAGAATCACAGCTAACCTGGAAATGTCATGGTTTATTTTTCCATTTTTCCCACTATGCCACTTGGCCTTTTCTAACATATGCAAGGGTTAAACTCTGAAGCACATCAAGAATGCTTTCTTTCACTTGGTTATAAGTTACTAGATATTGCTTCAGTAATAAATGATATAAGTATATCCACTCCTTATTTGATTTAGGATTATACAGTTTAGTGTTTAGACATAAAGATTTTGGTTTGTTTGCTACTAAGACCTATGGGAATCTTGGTTTGTTTGCTACTAAGACCACTAGCTGATAACTTTTAAAAGATATATATGTGAAAGAGTTTTCTTTGTCTTGCCCCTTCAAAATGGTATAAAAGCTCTATATTAACTATCATTAAATTGTCATCTGTTCAAGAAGCAGGTGTCCGATATATGATCGTCGTTCGCCTATCCGTCTCTCCTTCAACACTTCCCACGACCCTTGTGGGGCGGGCCCCCTCATGTGTGTGTGTGTGTGTGTGTGTGTGTGTGTGTATACTTTTTTTTACAGGCAGCCCTAGAACCAGAATAGGTTCAGAGTGACTCATGTAGACACACATATTTTTAAAAAAGAGTATTCTCAAATCAATTAACTAAGGAAAATAGAGGAAATAGAAGACCTGAAAAACACTATAAACCAGCTAGGCCTAACACACATCTATAGAACAATCATCACAACAATAGAAAAATACACATTTTTCCTCAAGTGTACATGGAACATTCTCTGGATATATCATATGTCAGACCATAAAACAATTCTAAATAAATTTGGAAGGACTGAACTCATGCAAAGTATGTTTTCCAACCACAATGGAAAAAATTAGAAATCAGACTCTTTCTCCCAAAAGAAGAAAATGTGGGAAATTCATACATATGAAGAAATAAACAAGACACTTCTAAATAACCAGTGAGTTAAAAAAGAAATCTCATGGAAAATTAAAAAAATACATTGAGAAGAACAAATATGAAAACACAATATGAAACTCCTCATATGCAGCTAAAGCAGTGTAGAGAGGGAAATTATAGCTTTAGATAACTATGTATTTTTAACATTTTTTTTTTACAGGGAGCCCCCAGAACCAGAATAGATTCAGAGTGACTCTTATGGACACCTATATTTAAAAAAGAAGAAATATTTCTCAAATCAATAACCTAAGTTTACCTTTAGAAACTAGGGGAAAAAGAGCAAGTTAAACCCAAAGCAAACATAAAGAAGAAAATAATAAGAACTACAGCAGAAATAAAATAACAAATTTAAAAATAGAGAAAAATCAATAAAACCACAAGTCGGTTCTTTAAAAAGATCAACAAAATCAACAAACATTTAGTTTGAGTAATCAAAGAAAACATATAGAAGATACCAATTACTAAAATTAGGAATGAAGAGGACATTACTACTGATCTTGAAGAAATAAAGATAAGGGGTTTCTCTGGACAGTTGTATGCCAACAAATTAGTAAGCATAAGTGAAGTGAACAAATTCCTAGAAAGACCCAAACTACTGAAACTCATTAAAAAATAAGGTAGAAAATGTAAATAGACCTAAGATTGAATCAGTAAAAATAATAAAAAGAAACAAAACAAACAAGCACACAAATAAAACTTTCTACACATAAAAAGCCTAGAACCAGGTGGCTTCCATAGTAAAATACTGCAAAACATTTAAAGAGTTAACACCAATCACTCACAAACTCTGCCCAACAAACAGAAAAGGAGGCAACACTTACCAATCATTTTAAGAGGCCATTACCAAGGTACCAAAATCCAATCATAAGAAAACTACAGAGCA